ACTAAATCACATCAACAAAAAGAGCAGCGAAAACAAAAATTTATGTTCACAGGCAACCAGATAGCTCAGAGTTTCAGAACCCACAAGAGCTGTAATCTAAGCAGCTATAAAAACCCTCTAAAGTAAACCAAGAAATAGGTACACTTTTATGTCAGAACTGCTCTGGATATGAAAGAGCAATCATCAGTAGTAGAGTTTCATCTCATTCAAACAAATACAGCTGTTGACAAACAGATGAAACGGGGATGACAGAATGACTCTCTTAAACTAGTAACAAATGCTTTAAATAGAGGCTCTGAAATCTACTGGCCTGGTTCCATGAGGGATACCCCAATCACTATTGAGATGGTTTAGCAATATAAAATACCCTCTGGAGTATTCAAATCATTAATTTAAAATATCTACAGATGCATACAACTGGGCTGCCACACAGCAGATTCAATACACTCCAGAACACAGAAAACACAGAGAAACTATTTCCTTACGTTTTAACATGCATTTTTATAGCAGACACGCAAATCAAGTGTGACTGAACAAAGAAAGAATCAAGGCACAACAACGATCAATATTTCATCAGACAGAATTAAAGGATGTATTACATGTAAAATAACAAAAAGGTAAATCTATGAATTATGTTGAGCCCAACCCTACACTAACAGAGACAGTGGTTTCGTTCTACCAAGCCACACTTCTCTGAAGCTGTCTAAAGGAAGACTGTAGGCCTTTCACCTACAGGACGAGGAGAATTTGGATTTATCAGCACATTTTTGAGCTTCATAATAATTGGCCTGCACCATGATGCGTATTCTAGCCTAAAAAAACCAACAAAAAACACAAACACAAAACAAAACAAGAAAACCAAAAAACACCTATCTGGATGAAGCAAGAGAATCCAGTACTAATTCCGTGAGAGGAAATGCTGCGGGTTTAGGCTGTGTTGTAAATGTAATAGACTTTTTCCAAAGGAAACGTGTAACAATGCTAGATAACAGACATAAATACAGTATTTCATAAAATTATGCTATAGAAAAATTGATTTCCTGATGCAGATGTAAAAATAATCCTGAACAAACATGAAATAACAATATAATCGATGATTCGCCAATACATTTTATCATACATATTTCAGTAAAAATTATTTGAAAACACAAGATGGACAGTTAAAATGTATTCAATGTGGCCAAACCAGTCCCACATTTCTTAGAATGTCACATTTATAATTATTCTATTCAGCCAGTGCTCTGTAACAATAAAAACTGAAGTAGAAAAATTGGGTGAAGAACACTGAAAGTGAAGAGAAAGAAACAATCTGGGACAGAGAATATATTATGCCAAACTTGTGTGTCATTATTATTGCATTAAGACATTTAATTTACAGTTAAGTTTCTCCACAAGCTGTGACATTTTAGGGATAGACAAGTAAAAGCAAAATGGCATCATCTGGTAGTAGAAGAAATCAGAATTAAAACAAAAGCTGTGGGAATTAACAAGCTGCTGCAGATTCTAAGCTCGTGAGGATACCCTGCTCTGGTGACCATAAAATATAAAGAAAAGTTTTTTGGAAGTGCTAATGGAGGTTCTACAGACCACCAACTCTCTCAAGTCCAAAGAGCTCCAAGGAAAGCACACAACATATCTGTTCCCTTTTTCCATGGATTTAGCTATCAGGCAATATAAAAATGGTCACCTTTTACTCCATCCTGCACTATGTCCTGCCACCTTTGACTAATATTAAATAGAAAATTCAGTGCAGCCGAATTCGTATCTGCTCTTGGAAACAATGCTGTAAAAAAGTCATTCCAAAGCCAAGCAGTTTCTATTTTCACAAGCCAGAGAAAACTGCCACGCTTAAAACAACCTGCAAAGTCATATTGGTTCATTCATTCAGGTGTTGCCCCCTTTGGTAAACAGTGGAAACTCAGAATGTCAAAAACCAGCGTCTAAAACCTAATTCTGCATTCTTACCCACCAAGAAGTAGCTTATGAATGAATAAAAGCATAGCAGTTACAAACTATGAAGGTTATTTTTCTTGTTTCTTTCCCATAAAACCTCATGGAAAAGCTAGGCTTCTTCAGCATTATTTATCTGTAGGGGTCGAATCGGCTTCTCTTGCCCCTTAATGAAATACAACCCATTATAGTGACAAAGTTAAAGACTTGGAAAGTTGTAAGGGTTTGCATGCACGTCAGCAAACACATGCCTGAAGAACATCAACCTCTGCCTCTCCGCTCCCCCAGAAGAGACACACAAGCCTTCCGGCTCTGCGTGTGCACCTCGTTGTGCTGTCGTGCAGGAGGAGCGGGGGCTTAAAGTTTTATGATCCTGAACGGAACAGCAAAAGAAAGACGTTATCTGCAAAGAAATACCCACCCGTGATGTTGCACCAAAGGAGAATCTGAACCGGTCCCTGCCCTGCCTTCCTACAGAACAAACGGCACCGGTTACAGCCGAAGCCGAGATACAAAACGGGATAAGGACGCGTGTGGGAAGCGGATGAATATCTTTGCATGAATTACCTCCCAGTTACTCCCTCCATTTAAAAGGATCAATAATAATATTAGTCATTTAGATTTAAAATAAACTTTGGATGATATCACTGCCAAGTTACAGTAGAGATAAGAAGGTACAATATATTAAGAAACCTCTTCCATTATAACTTTGAGGCATTTGGCTGGTGGTTGCTGCCAGAGACTGCGCAGCATCTGCTCTCACTTTAGCAGTTTATATTCCGACTCTGGTGAATGGAAGCACAAGCTCTGAAACAGCCTTTGGGGAACACTACCGAGTGGCTCGGCAGAGCTCTTGCTCAGAAAAGAGAGGAGGAGATTAATATTACAGAAAACTTGAAAGATCTGGCTTCTGAGAAAGGCGAGAGGAGCAGTTTCCTAACGCTGTGCACAGCACAAAGCTCTCTCCTACCGAAACGTCGCAAACGTGCCCCGAACCTAAAGCGAACATTGAACAGGAACAGATTTAAAGGTAGAAAATCAGGTCTGTTTAAGTCATATTCAGGTAAAAGTAAGAAGAAACCACGTGTTTTATCCCGTTTGTCAAGGGGCTTGATGACACCAGGAGGAGGACTCGCACAGGACACGCTCTGTTCCCTCAGCGCTGGCGAAGGCCGCGGCTGCTCCGCGGGGCCCTGGTGTGTCCCGGCACAGCCACACATGGCAAGCCTGAGCTTTGTCGTGGACTTACAATGTCGTTATTTTAAGTGCCCAGTAGCACAAACTACTAAATTTGTGTGTGGTCCTGTGCAAACAACAGATCTGGCCACACACAGTGAAAACCAAGCTTCTAAAACTTCAAAATCAGCTGAAGGAATTCTCTCCTCAAGAGCCATAGATCCCAGATAGTAGCCACCAGTGAACCCCACAGCCACTTTCAAAACTATAAAAGGCTTCATGTAAAGCCAAAATAAAGCTCTAAAAGTGGCTGCAGGAGATCACTAGGAGTGGCCGCTCTTCTGGATTCACTGCTTTTGAGAAGTAAATCCCTGCAGCTGCTTTTAAAAGCTTTGAAAGTTTCATTTCAATTATCAAAGCCAATAAAGCTTCAAAAACAGCCATAGGGATTTGTTCCTCCGAGGAGCAAACCCCACAAGGCAGCGATGAATAGTGTGATGGGTTCTGTGGCTCCTCAAGTATGTACAGATTCCTGTAAGTCCTGCACTTGTAATTACAGCTTCATGTTGTGCAGCAATTGCTACACCCAGGCAGTTCATTAAGGCTTGTACGGCAAATTCATTACCCATTTCCCGTTCCTCTGAACGGCTCTACGGCTGTTTCCTCTTTGTTCTCTGACACCTGGGTGAGCTGTAAGGTGAGCATCCCTCACACACGCTTCCCGAGAGCCTGGCTGGGCTCCCAGCTCAGGTGGTGGGGAGCCACGGCACAGAGTCGGCGCGTCCCCCACTGCATCGCACGCGCCGACACCACGTCATGGCAACACCGCAACTACAGCACCCAAAACAACCCATTTCTCGGAAGGAGAACTTAAAAGGCCGCTAATTAAAAGAGCGAAGCTTGACAATAAGTCAATGAAGAACCTTGCCCGCAACTGCAATATAAAAAGGCTTCCATTAATTCAATGAACATAAACACAAATAACATTTCAGAAGTAACCGCGTGACTTGAAAACCCAACTGTACTGGTCTGTAACAAGATGTTGGGCTTATCTTCAAAATTATGAGAACTAGATCCCTAAAAATTTTACAGATTTAGCTTGTGATGTAAGCATAGTTCCAAGAGAAATATATGATTTAAACAATTTCAGATTCGTATCTTAAGATGCTGATCGCTCTGAAAATATTACCAAAATTGCTTTTAAAAAGATACATTCAGATATTAGAACATATGTAGTATATTAATGAAGTTTGTCATATAAAATACATTCAGAACATATTTACTAACCTTAAAACATCATTAATTTTGAAAAGTTATTTTTTCAGCTAATGTTTTAAAATTCTATTGTCCAATGGCAGACTAAGTAAATACACCTTTTTTTTTTTTGCCAGGATAAATAAATGCACCTTTTGGGAAAAATGCTCTAAGAAAATCGTATGAACTTAAATAGACGCAGGTGTTAAGAACTAAGTAACTGGTTTGTAGGCAGAAAGAAAATCTTGACAGATAACTTTGTTATTCACAGGTGTCCTCTGTGACCTGTACTACTTACTTTACCTCTCTCTTTCAGTCTTCTCATGTGTAAAACATGAAGGAGGATTGTGAGAAATAATTAATGTTGGCAAAGAGTTTTGAGATCCTTGGACATGAAAAACATGGGGAAAGCATGAAGCATGAAAGTACCAGTACACTATTTTTTTTCCAACTTGAGATAACTAAATTACTTTTATCACAAAAACCTTGAAAGTTTTCTAATACAAGATCATATAATAAAATTCTTAAAAAACAACATCTTAAGTGCTAAGCACACTCTGTTCCTCAGAATGGTAGAACTCCAAAGGAAACACTCTCAAAGGCAAGGACACGTTTCTCACCCGTTTCAAGTATGCGTTTATGGAGAGGTATAGCAGCAAGGAAGGGCTCGTCTTTACAGGACTGGATCTGGGTTCCAACCAAGTCAGAGTTGGTAGCCATGATTCGGGCACTTTCTTCATTAAGATTAACGCCAGCCATAGAGGCAACATCATTGATGTCATCATCATCTCTATAACGAAAAAAACCCAACACACAAGAATAATTCTGCATGTGATACATTCATTTTGTATGTTATCTACTTCCCCAAAAGCAATCCTCATGCAACAAGCCCGGTGGCTGGGCCAACCTGAGGCACAACCACAAGGGTCTCTGTTTTCATAGAATGTATTCTAGATTCAGAACTAACTAAATACTTCTCTGATCACATTCAGAAAACTTCAGGAGAGGGACAATTTGTCTGTAACAGGTGTGACAAAGGTGTCGGCGATAGTATTGAAACCAGGATGGTCAGGAAACTGACCATCAGCAATGACCACCAGCAAAGCCAGCACACTTGGCTATTCCCTTTATGCTGAAAACTAGGAGGATAGTGTCACAAAATTGATCTCCTGCCTTGGTGATTTGCATGCTGAGTCTAAAGAATTTCCATTTTTACATTTCACATGGTACGTATGTGATACTCATCAGAGGGTCTCAAGAGCCACCATGAAGAAACTGGGCTCCTACATGTCCAGCGCAGAGATGATGGAACTACTCTTGGCCTTGTCCAATCATAGTGAAACTGCCCCAAATATCACAGCTGACAAACACACTCAGCCATGTAACAACTAACAGTGACTTAAAGACTCAGTAATGAGTTCAAAAGATTCTAACTACAAATGAAAAACAGCAACTAAAACTGAAAAAGGGAAAAACCCCAAGATTTTGGGGAGTTAAAAACCTCAGCGCTTGAAATAGCATGAGCATCCCAAGGTAATCCACCCAGGACTCAAGGTCCACATCCAGCAGGGATTTTAAACCATGGCAAAACCAAATTGATGTAAAGGTAGTTATGGTAACACAAACTCAGAACTATGCAAAGCAGTGGAAACTACTGCAAAACAGACTTGAGCCCAAAATTCCAAAATAAAGCTAAAACTGACCAAACTACAAACCATTAACCAGGTTGTGCAGTTAAAAAAAAAATAATCCTATATTGATTCCTGGTGGACCCTGACTCCTGGTGGACCCTGACATCTCTGCAGATGCAAAGGCAGCACTGCTGCCCCGGGGGGGTCCGACTTCAACACTGGACTTCAAAAACATGATTTTTAAGAGAAGTTTATATTTGTCTCTGCTTTTACTTACTAGCTAAAGAAAGTACAATCAATCTTACACCTTCCTTCTGCTTAGCATTTTAGCTACTGTAGTTTTTATTTAGAGGACAGATCTGTGATCACGTTATAAATAAACAAATATTGTCTGCACTAAAAACAAATAATTAATTTGGGCACAAGCCAGGATTACAATGAAATTATCAAACTCAGTGCAACAGCACTTACAAAGAGCATCACTGTAACTCCTGGACAGAAGCACTTCCTTCCATCTTACACTGGCAGACTACTATCTGTGAGTACATCTATTATTATTATTTTTTTAATGTTACATGGAAGATAGATATGAAATGTTTTGATCATAGTTAGGACTAAATTTTTTTCAGTGTAATGGGAAAAACTGTCAATATTTCCTTTCTGACTTTGAGGAACTTCATCACGAGAAAGAGCTTGGGTTTGGATACTGAAACACAAACGTCATGTATAAAGAGGGCTGGTATTCTCCCCAGACAAGTTCCTAGAAAAGTCAACTTTTAAGCCCAGAAGAGTGAGTTTTCAGGAGTCATTCGGTGGAACAAAGATGCCATCCAGTGGTTGCCTAGATTGATGATTACTGTCTGTCTTTCCCCTTTCATCCCACCACAGTATTTAACAATTTTATGTTTCTTGGCACATAATACTGTGCTCATACTAATTATATTGTCTCAGTAATTATTTCTAGGTTTTTTTCCTGAATTAAACTCCAAGTCTTGTGGGACAAATCTAACATTCCAATGTGCATGCTACTTTTAAGATAGTATGGGTTCTCAAAATCTTTCTAACACTAGCTACATCTTAAAGTAGTTTAAGAGTTAGATTCTTCCTCCTGTGTTCAACCTCGTGTAACACCCGTCCCTCTCCTCTTCATTAGAAACACTCATGCAACTAGAAAAAAAACCCCAACTAATTTGAAAATAAGAAAGAAAAACTGAAGTATTTGCACAGTTTTCCAAAACATGCTTCAAAGATTGTTTAAATAAGACAAGCCATTGTAAAAATCTGGTAGCATTTTCTGTATGAACAAATCTTAACCGCAGGATTGTATATTGGTCTTCTTCCTCACGCGCTTTGTAAGATTTGAGGCAATGACGTCCAAATCTGCAATTCTGAACTGCTCCCAAATAAGCTCTAAGGATATGTAAAGCAACTGAGACAGAATTACACTCCTGATCCCTCAGTCTCTCAAAAGTGAAATTCCACGTTGTTAGGGCAGAGCCCCTACACATGTGCATGATGTAACATCTTGCATTTTGCCAGAACTGTGTTATTATTTTATTTTTAAAAGTAAAAATAAAGTAACTGGCAACAGATTCTTTTGGCTAGGCAAAAGACGTTTGAAACCAATTTTTTTTTTTATTCCTAGGTAGACTCTACTCTAAAATGTTGTCAGCCAGCAGCTTAAAATATAAATACTAAGATAAGCTTCATAGAACCGATTCTGAAAAAATCCCCATCACATTGGCTGTATAAACCCTGACGGGTTCCATGAGGTTGTATATATATATACTTGAAGTACTGTTTGTATATATATATATATATATACTTTGAAGTACTGTTTGAGAAAAAGAAAGGTCTCTGTGAAGAAGAAGTGTCCCAGCTGCCCAGGCGCTCCTATGGCCAACAGACCCTCATCACCCAATGGTAAGGGAATGGTTCTGGCCACTTCTTGCCCCATTCTACAGGCAATGCCACCGAGCCTCCCCCAGCACAGTTAGGAAGGAGTAGGGTATTACAGTGCTGAGAACATCTATCTCCATCCTTGGAGATATGTAGAACTGGAAGAGTCCTGACTGAACCAAACCTGTTCCAAAGTCAGGAGATGGACTAGTTGACCACCCAAGGTCCCTTCCAACTGAAATTATCCTGACAAAATCAGGGGGAACAAGCATTTCCACTTGTTCTTTACATCAGCCACAATCTCCACTACGGGTAATAATTACTTCAAGAGTCTTCTGCTTTCACTGCCATCACTGGTGGGAGCATTGGGTTCCCAAACTAGATGGTGATGGACACAGCAGTTGAAGCCAACTAGGCAGGCCCCAAGCAGACCCAGACTACAGTGGGCCTTCTGCTTCATCTCAACAACAAATTACAAAAAATGGAATTAAAATTTCCATCCTTAGATATTAACATAGCTGAGAAGTCAACTAAATGGAGTTGTCTGTAGTTCTCTCTGAAAAACCTAGCAACAATACATGTTAATACCAAAAAAGGTGACAAAGTTCCATGAATGCAACAGCTTTACATTGCAGAAGTCTTGGGTTGAGAGCTCTACGTCACAGAACAGCTACTATAATCTCCAGTGAACTCATGTAAGCCATCTTACAGCTCATTAATAACTGCTGACATTAAAGGCTAAGCTGTAATTTGCAAAATTTCTAATTGCTACTTCTTTTATGTAATTCCTTCCTGTATTTCCCACAGTCCAGAAGAAATTGAAAATAATGGAGTTCACATTTCCATTTCTAGTGACCAACACTTTGCACACAAGAGTGAAAAGCTCAAGTAAGTTATTTTAAAGAAAGCAGAATATAAAATAATGAAACAAATATGCAATAATAAAAGACTAAGGGCAAAATAAATTTATACATAACACAACTATTTTTCAAAATTCTTGCTTTGCTTTAGATGCCAGTTTGCCTTCTGGCTAAAAACACATTCTTCACACACGCTGGGAATGTTGAGGAAAACTAGTCAGCATTCAGAGGATTAATACAGATTTCCAGCTCTGTGCCTTCAGGCTCAATAGTCAGACATCTATTTGTCCTCAGGAAAGGTTAGGGGTTGAAATGCAAATATGCAAACAACCAAATTCTTTGTTAAGATATCAAGAAAAAGCTTGATCTTTGCTGCTGTTTAATAAATCCTTGCGATTTTATGGACTTATTTAAATGCAGCTTTGTGTCTTACTATTTTGAAGGAGAAAACAATGCAAGGAAACAAACACATTCATTCTGACTAAAATTTGTTCTCTAGAGGAAAAATGACATACACCCTTGACAGCTTATTTACCAAACTCACTAAAGATTTATTGATTTATCAATCAGTGCCTTGAGCATTTGCTTCTCCCCAAGGGAAAATTAACAATTCCAGCTAACCTAATATATTCTATGTATAAACTAAGTGAATGCAAGAATCAATCCTGGCACAGTTTACAACATCCAGTTTAAAAAAAATGCTGTCCCTTTTGGTGTATGTAAAATTGAAAGCTATACTAACGAAGAATAAATGCTCATGTTGCTTACAAACATAAAAAATACTTATTAAGACAGTACAATTGAACCCAACAGACATTTTAAATCATTTAAATACTCAGTGGGAGGCAAAAGCATTGGAAAATAAAAAATTGAATGATTTTGCTTCTAGATTAATACTAAGTACTACCACTATTAGTCGCAATACCGACATGCCTCAAAGCAGAGATATTTCAAACAGCTACAAATTCTCTTTCACTTCACCTGCAAAAGCATAAGCCTGAAAATTAATTACTGGTTTGATGATGTCAGAGCAACATAAGCATTCCAGAAGATGAAAATTAAAATCTAGGAATATTTTGTCATTTAACAAAGAAAGAAGATGTTTAAACACAAGTGAACTGTACTTTCATCAGCAGAAAAAAAATATAAAATGATGCAAAAGCAAAATGCAGTAAACATAAGATTAGCTTTTCACCACAAAGGGTAATAATATCCAAAAATATATATATAAAATAAAAGTTTGAAGTAGAAAAGAACTAGCTGAGCAGCTCAGTGCATCAATGCTAACGTGCTGGACCCTTTGCAGCAGCTGATGGCTGCAGGGACCCCCGAACGCCCCAGTCTCTGCTGCCCCAGGGAGGAATGGACCAGCAACGTCTGCTCTTGAAAACCAACAACAATCACACACAGACACGCCAAAACCACCCAAACCCAGGCAAGATGTCTGTGCTGCTGAGGGGAGAGCTGCAGCTCAGCTGCAAAGCCATAGGATGCCTCGTCACCACAGTTCGTGTCTCCTCAGCAAAGACACGTTCTGTGTGAACGTTAGAATCCAATACAGAAAACCAGATATTTTTTAAAAACTCCATACACATAATTCCATTTACCAGAACTTTTATTGTAATGCGCAGAATTGAAGGCTTTACTAAACATTACAAAGTGCATTTAGAGAAAAATCCTCAAAACATGTCATGACCCCCTCCCTTTTTTTTTTTAAACAGAACTAAGAAAATGGTCATCCAATCCCCGTCGGAAAAGGCAGGAATTCTGGTGAAACACTGCCCTCTGGTGTTAACGCCAATTCAAAAGTCTATTTTAGATTTAAGATCCCCCCAGAAGCACCCCCCTGCATTTTTTTTTTAATATTATTTTTTATTTTTTTACCTGAAAGAACCACCTCCAGGGTCATTCAGCTTGTTTTTCTGATTTGCAGAGACCTGAACACCAAAGCCCCCAGGACTTTTGCTGGCTTGTATTGTTGGTGCCTTCCCTACTGTGCCTGAAAAACACCAAGCAATGTTATTATGAGCTGTCTTAGGCAATTTACATCAAAGAACCTTCTGTCCAGGAACTAAATTTAACTGTCTGTAAATTGCAAACAAAGGAAGTTATTATTTTAAAGATTACACTGCTGAAGAAGAACAATTTAAAATACAGAATTTCTATTAACATTACAGTTTGTTCGATGTTTATAAAATACTGAAGATTCTAAAACTGAGAACCGTTGGCCGTAACTGGTTATAATACACATAATGGCTATAAGTGTGTTTGCAATTGCCAGTAAACCAATTCTCCAGATAATCTGCACAGAATAAAGCAGAATTTGAAGTGTTCTTAATACAGATGCTTTAAGTCACAGTCACTCAGGGTATTAACTAGACCTTTCACCTTTTTTTATATAGTCTTTGTTCTTTGTTGAGGGAAATATATGAATTTCCAGAGTTGAAAACATTATTTTAGAATGTTTTATATTGTATGTAAAAGAAAAAAACACTGTTGTATAATTTGACATAACTCCCCTTTAAAGGCTTTTACTTTCTTATTTTGAAAAACATGATTTACAGTAATTCATACCTGTATCTAGACTTTACAGGTCTGCATGTGGAAGTAAAACTGGGCTTTCTAAACGAGCCACCGTGTGGTGGGTGTGCAGCTTCTTGTGACAGTAAATTAAAAAATGAGTATTAATTTCTCTCTGACATTTGGACAAAATCCAACCAAAAATAATTACACATTTATGTTGCTAATTAGCAGATCAACAGACCTGTATTATTATTATTAAATCTATTGTATTAGCATGCAGCTGAAAAAGCACTGACAAATGGAGCTTTTGGAGTAGGCCCTCATTTACTGCCGAAACATATGTTTGCTTGGGTTATGTTTTGTGTTTCCTTTAATCCCACCTGTGTTTTGGCATGTGAAAATAATTAATTCATACGTCTACGTGACTTAAAAGCTCTCACCTTTTTCTTGTCTATCGCTCAATTTTATTGAGCGTTACATGCCCATAGTGTGAGAGATTTGGAGAAGCACATGAAAGCTGTTCCTGCACATCTCTGACTCAGTTGCATGGGATGAACCTTAGTAAATTATTTTTCTTTCATGAATTATAAAAACCTGAAACACAACTATCCCAAGAAATGCTTTGAAAAACATTTCTTTGCTAAAACAAAAGTGCTGGCTTTGAATGAGCCCACCACTACTTTTCTTATTTTTAAATCCTCATCACCTTCAGCATATGATTCTAAAGGGAAACTAATTTGACTGAGTTCGTTCAGTTCTTCAATCAGTGTAAAAAACTCTTGCGTGGACTCTCAACAAACACAAAACTAAATTCAGGACTCCAGGCTCCAAAGCCTGGGGAACAAAAATATTCTGTCATCAGAATATTCAAGGTCCATGAGATGTCACAGATAGCGTGAGCTCATGGGCCAGACAATTCACCTGAAGATGAAAAGCTCTGTATTCCATTACAAACCCTCAGTCATCTACATGCCCACATCCAAAAAGATGCTCTCACACGTAATCAGGGAAAATAATGACCAAGCCAACAGGTCTAGTGGTGGAAGGAAATAAATGGACAATCATTAGGAAGTAAGAAGGCTTCAAGAACCTTCTCACTACGTGGGACGTATCAGGCAGCCGTTAACCTGCCCGTGTAGAGCCAGACGAGGGAGTTGGCTACAAACTCTGGCTGGCACCCATGGCACGTCCCCCATGGCACATCAGGCTGCTCCACTCACTCTCTCACCTCAAAGGGACAGGAGAAAAAAAAAAAAAAAAAACCCTCCACTCACTCTCTCACCTCACCAAAGGGGCAGGAGAAAAAAAAAAAAAAAAAAAAAAAAGCAAGGACATGGGTTGAGAAATTTCTCTAGGACTCCTACGTTGACCTCTGCAGCTGCAGAGACAGTGACTATCGCCTTCTGCTTCAGGAGTAAAAGTAGGATGATTGAATTGAAGCATCCTCTAAGCTCCAGGAAATAACAATTTCTTTCTGGGCTCAGAGTTGAAGTTTAGGCCAGTAAGAATCAAGTTCCTGACTTCTTTCAGAATTTTCCATGCAAACTGCTGAGCAAGGAGCTAAGCATGTGAGAGTTTAGTCCTAAGGTTGTTTCAAAACATTTCACTGGGTTGGTCTGAAACACCTCAGAAGTGCCGAGGGAGAGCATGCATTCCTCAGCCAGTACCACGTCAAAAGTGAACGTCAAGCCTGCCAATGTCAACACTGTAAGTTTTCCCCATGCCACTAGTTTGTAATTACAATGAAATTCACACAAAGGTAACAAATCTCACTAAAACATTTAAACCCATACCTTGTGGTCTAATGGTCTGAGTTATTACCACTGGCATCCTAATCTGGGTAGTCTGGCAAGCAGGGTTTCGTTTCACAGTTTGAGCAGATGTTGACTGGATAATCTGCTATTATTAAAAAAAAGTATACTTATATTATACTCTTTATACACAAACACACACAACGTAAATATACTAACACCTGTAATTACTAATACAAGCACGTGGATCTCTAAAAGCACAACCAGCTACTGACAAAAGTCATATTGGTGTAATGCACGTGGTTGTGTGTGTGTGTATATACCTATTTCGCAGTTATGCTTTGAGAAAAATCAAGTAATATTCGACACAAGTGTCATATGTCACAACTTTCATCAAAAATATATTTCAAAATAGTAAGGTAAAGTTCAGACTTTTGTCTTCACAACTTCTACTGGAAAGAAAAGCATCTTTGTGGAAGAAAATACCGCAATAATTTTAGTGGTATCCACCTACAACCATTAGGCCTTTCACTATACAGCTACACTTTTTAAAGGAAATATATACTAAAAGTATATTCTAAAATATTATGGGTTCCAAGTCAGATATACACAAGAATTAAAACATTGTTTTGTGATGAACATATACTATTCATCTTTTCAATGTTAACTGGATATTCGCAAAGTTTTACTTACTACCAAGCCAAGTTCTGAAGTCCTTACCCCAACATGAAACTGGGTTAGAAACTTCAAATTTGATCCATGAACAAATCAAAAAGAAAAAACCTGCAAGGGTTATGTCTAAGCAACAGCAAAATTATGTTCATGTAACCAGGGAGAGGACATGCACAGGTGAAATGAACAGAAGATTCAGAGAGACGAGCAACCAGAGACAGGACAGGCACAGATGAAATGAACAGAAGATTCAGAGAGACGAGCGGATGCTGCAGAGCTGGAAAAAACATCCATAAATAAAAACTTTGGCAACAAAAGACAGGTGAATAGCTGCGAATAAGGTTACAATCACGACTCAAGCTGACAACTTTGGAAGTCTTGTGCTCTTCACAGCCACCACCGCTGCACGATGTTCCTCCTGCTGCACGATGTTCCAGCTCCGTCCCGCACCCAGTGGACAGGGTGTCCCTACGCCCGGAGACAAACCCCAACCACCGCACCTTCAGCCAGTGCTATCCTTACAAAGTGCACCTAAAACCACATTATCTAACTCAATAATGACCGGCCAAACCTCCGACTTCAAAGTAGGCTATGGAAAAAAGGAAAGGAGAAATGGGATTTTCAAATGAGACTTAAAAGTAGAGAATGAAGAGGCTACGGAACAAATAGGGAATCATTCCACCAGCAGGAACCTTCCCAAATGGGAAGGAAGAGAAGTGGAAACCACAACCAAGGAAAGTGTCACGAGGGAACAAGGCCTGCAGTGTCATCTGGAGAAAAACCAAGTAGGGCTGTTCTGAAGTTAGGAAATTGCATTCTGCACATCCTAAAATAGTAAAAGTTGCAAAGTCGTGATAAACCTGTGGATGTAGAAGCATTAGCAATAGGTGCCTCGTGGGAAGGGAAAAGGGGAAAAGAGATTAAGGATTCATCTTCAACTACGGACACTGAGGAAAACAGAGCGTTTGGACCAAACACAGAAACAAAGGAAATGGATGTAAATTTACCCTGTCAAGATGGGCAGTGAGTAAATAGTGACACTCAGAGGGGAAAGAATAAAGTAGCTACCATGTGTAAAAACAGGAAAGAAACAGAGATGATCTATGAAAATGGGGGGGAAAAGTTGAATTTGACTGCATTTTGATGCAGAGAAAACATGTACAAGTGTATTTTAGTAAGTAAGGAGACAGAATAGCCTACAGGGGAAAAAAAAAAAAAGGCTACATTGGTATGAAAAAGGAGAATCTTGCCACTTTGACAATAATTTATTGGATGAGTTTTCAGAGGATAGTGAATAAAAGCAGCCATACCTTAACTGGCCAGAAACCAGGCCAAAAAGGAGATGTGTGACCTGTGGACAGAATTACTATCTGATATTACAGTAATCATCTGTAATTAGATTTTTCTCTCTGTGAAGGAACTTCTATAGTTCAGAGTCAAGTGCTGTTTCACCCCACTAATATTTCCACGTGAATTTCCTAAAAAGAGCCACTAATACAATTAAAGATAGGACAGTCTTTAACCATTTAAAATTACATAAATAACTGCAAATTTTTTTTACTGTCAAGTACATTCAAAGAACTTCCTTTAACAAGTACTGTACTAGGACTTCAACGTACACAAAAGTGCTGAAAGTCCAGAAAATGGTTGAAAAACAAACTTTTCCAAGGGGCACAGATCAAAATCATCACCTTAAATTCCATACAGAAGCCAACCAGCAACAAGCATGTACTCTCTAAAAGGAACAACTGAGCCTCAACTCAGAGCAACATTTTGCACTAACTTTAATCCCAGTTTCTAGACAGTTTTAAGACACATTTCAACACAGATGTAATCTTCAGAAAGGAGAATCTTGCCACTTTGACAATAATTTATTGGATGAGTTTTCAGAGGATAGTGAATAAAAGCAGCCATACCTTAACTGGCCAGAAACCAGGCCAAAAAGGAGATGTGTGACCTGTGGACAGAATTACTATCTGATATTACAGTAATCATCTGTAATTAGATTTTTCTCTCTGTGAAGGAACTTCTATAGTTCAGAGTCAAGTGCTGTTTCACCCCACTAATATTTCCACGTGAATTTCCTAAAAAGAGCCACTAATACAATTAAAGATAGGACAGTCTTTAACCATTTAAAATTACATAAATAACTGCAAATTTTTTTTACTGTCAAGTACATTCAAAGAACTTCCTTTAACAAGTACTGTACTAGGACTTCAACGTACACAAAAGTGCTGAAAGTCCAGAAAATGGTTGAAAAACAAACTTTTCCAAGGGGCACAGATCAAAATCATCACCTTAAATTCCATACAGAAGCCAACCAGCAACAAGCATGTACTCTCTAAAAGGAACAACTGAGCCTCAACTCAGAGCAACATTTTGCACTAACTTTAATCCCAGTTTCTAGACACATTTCAACACAGATGTAATCTTCAGATCTGGAAGTGATTAAGGAACAAACATTAGCAATTTGTTTCTGAAACAGAATGTGTAACTTTGTTTGCAGGCAAACAAGGGACACAGTAAAAACTAATGAATCAGAAGTAATTGACCCTGCATTAATATTTATAAACAATCTAAATCACCTTTCATCAATTAAAATAATTCAGACTGTTCTAATCCTCTTGCCTGCTTTCCCAACAGTGTAAATATTAGTGTTATGTCCTCAACTTGGCTCGAAAAGTATAGACAATGAACAAGGTACCAGCAAGCTAGTCTGGGAGACTATTAACCAAATTATTCATATTTCTCACAGCCTAAAAATACACACGATGAGAGCACCACATCTAATGATACCTCTTCATATGCTGAACCCCAAGTGATCAGTTCATAAGCACCCATGTGCTAACCCAGACTGAGGCAGAAGACACAGGGGTGGATGTTTTAGCACCCTGAGGTTATCAGAGACATTACTTCAGCCTTCAGAAATGGCAAGATCTTACTGCTCTCTGGAACCACCTAACGGGGAGATGCAGAGAAGTCAGAGCCATGTGCTCAGAGCTGCAGAGCAGAAGGATGTGACACAATGGGCACAAGCTGGAATGTGGGAAATCTCAATCTATATAAGGAAAAAAATAATTTACTGTGAGGGTGGGCAAGCACTGGAACAGTTGCCCAGAGAGGGCACGTGATCTCATCTTGAAGACACTCAACCCATGCCTGGGCAAGGTCCTGCTCACCTGTAAGCAGGAGGTTGGACTAGCCACCTCCAGAAGTCCTGTCCAGCCTTTTACCACCACAATCATTATCATCATATCAATGATCTTACAAAGGCGCTGAGTCAGAAAAGGTAACGAGACAGAATACAAAAGCCTTCAAAGTTTACAGAAGCTGTTCATCATCCCACCTCCACTAAAAAGAAGGAAAACCATTTCTGTTATTTCCAGCACTGAGGACAAGCAGCACAACAGCAGAACAATAACAAAGGCACAGAAAATCGAGAAGGTTCAATGCAATTTAGCCATTGCCTGGATTTGATAATGAGTTTTTTAAATACTGAAATTACAATCAAGACAATGCCCTTCTTCCAAAAGCTTAGATTCAATAACTGTGAGAGAATAAAGTAACAGAGCTCTCTGGCCCTAATCTCAAGCCAAGAGGTGATGATCATACTGTGACTGGTGCAGATCTTCTACCATGTATGTTAGTGCAGGAGAAAGAACAGTTTGAGATGTCAACACAGACTGATAACTAACACCACAAATGACCAACAAATACAGACTAAGAAAGAATTGAGCCAAAGCACATAGAATATATAAACGCAGAAAGACCAATAACTTCTGTTCTCTTTCTCTTACCTAAACAGAAGATACTAAATAAAAATGAAAGCTACTACCTACAAACCACTGAAAGAAAAAAGCCCTTTGGGACAGTTCAGTCAGAATTCAAAGCTTAAATTTTGAAGGACAAGGATTTCACAAGCCTCAACAATCTGGATGCTCCTTTGCCAGTGCAGATGCAGAGGGTCCCAGCGATGGGTTCCCCCTTGACAAGGGCTGCAGCATCACCCCGCCTCGATTTACATCAATCACACTTTGCAACAACAGCATCTGATCCAAAAGCTTAGGCATTTCCAATGTGGCAAACAGAAAAGCGTAGGAAATAGAAGAATGGAAAATCAAAAGTAAATTTGGAAAATACATCCTTTACCAAGCATTTTTTCCTCTCAATTAAGTTAAAAAAAAAAATTTTTTTTGAAGTATTTTTTTAATGGAAGGAAGAAACAAGCCACTTGTAAATGTACAGGCTTCAGAATGGCTGTGGTCTGATATGACATTTATCTTCACTCATGAGTAAACACTTGCTAACTCACTTGTGGCTATGCCACTTGTGATTTATCAGTCTACTCACTCCTGAAGATAAATGTCATATCAAACCTCAGCCATCATGTAATCTGGCAGCATTAGCTTACAATGTTCATGCTTTTATGGGCCTAGAACTCATATTTACCATTGTTTGCCATGCTGCAATAGTAGCAGTTACAATTTTTCAACAGTGCCTCAAAATTTGTGTAAGCAATTGTTTTTCTTCCCAAATTAAAAAAAGGACTTTTTAAGTACTCAGCATGTAATTTTTAATGTTAATATGACAACAATATTATTCCACTGAGTATGTATCTCCAAGGAAGCAATGAAGAAAAATAACCCCAAAAGCCACTGGATCATCTGTCCCACCTGCTCCCCGGTTCATTGTACAATTCCTCCTACAGTATTTCACCTGGTCCCATTTTGAATGTTTTCAATGGTGGCTTTTTCCTCAATGCCTTTGGGAGCCTGCACTACCTTCTAACAATCTGTCTTACTCTAAGGACACTTTGCCTTATCACCTGCCTAAAACCTACTCTGCTAAATTATATCCCAGTAATTATATTTATACTCTCTTAGACCGCTCCAAATAATTCATCGATATATTTTGTTGTTTAATTCTCTTAAGCTTTTCTTTCAGTCTCTTTGCTGTTTAAACCCTTAAAATGTTTGCAAATGTTTTTTATGCTCCCCTTATACGTGGGTTTAATTCTCTTAAGCTTTTCTTTCAGTCTTTGCTTTCAAGTCTGTCCTTTAATTTCCATCTTTTGTTACTTGTTTTCAAACAGCATCCGTTGCCAATACCCTCCTTATATTAAGGTACAGCCTGCAATATTCTGAAAGTAAAGTCCACGATAACAACTCAGAAAACCACTAAGCTGTATTTAATAGGCACACGATTTGTCTAGTACAGGCTTTACTCCTGTGAAGGGATCCCAGCCGTCTACTGCTCAACAGCCATCTTTAGTTAAATTTTATTGTACAAGAAATTCTAATTCAGCAACTAGATCTTTATTAGTTCATTAATAGAAACTACTCCTTTAACCCAAATAGCCATCTTCTACTCTTCCATTTCTAAGCACACAGGACAAAAAGAAAATTATTTCCTGTGAGTCACTAAAATATGCACAAATTACATTCATTCCACAACAGAAAACTGATGCCAGAAAAAGCTTCAGCAGAGAATGAAAAAGCAAAGCAGAACATCCCCATATAACAATGTTTATTCTGCTGCCGTATCTTGTCTCCAAATTCCATTACTCACTCTCTCACCTTTTGGGAGCCTCCAACCACTATGATGGTCCCTGGAAAAGTCTTAGTAAATGTTTTAGCCAATACTATTCTAATGTAACTTGGAAGACAGTGAAATGTCCCCTCTGGACACCATAAACAATTTACTGCAGCAGCATCAGTCCCAATATATTTCTATATACCTTTCCTAATCCTAGACCTGCACAAACCTTTATATTGCTTTGCATATAATTAAATTTCTTTTCATCAAGACAGATCACTTTGAATGTTTTATTGTTTCTTTATCATTTAAATTTAATAATTGGCTTCAACCTTCAGGAGTGCTTCCTCCTTACGACACAGTGTCAATACAATACATGAAGTGCTAATCAATCTCCACTTCTCATCAATCCACTTACAACTTCATCACATTTAATAAAGAACATCTCTCTTATTCATAGAAACTTTATCTGCTCTAACACTCCAAAATATATACGGCTATATAGAGCTCCTGCCCCCTAAGAATGACAATTTAGGCAAACTTTGAACATTGCACTTACAACAATTAAAAAAATTGATTGCTGGCTTATCTCATTAGTGTCTCATCAATAAAATATTAGCCTAAGATTATTTCCCTTTTCCCTCACTAGAAGTAGTTACCAGCACTGACAGCACCATCTAGCTCTTCAAAGCACAGCTTCTTCAGCGTCTCAGAACATGATTCCAGTACCTTACAAAACAGATAAATAAAATATTCTCCTCTTTCCTCTGCACTAACACTATACATTTTAATGCTCTGTGCAATCTGCGTTGCACACTGACCAGTGCACACAGAATTCCCAGGGGGCAAGATACCTCCATGTTACTGGGAGAAGAATCACAGCGGGGTCAGATGTGGGGAAAGAGGAAAGCCCAAAGAACGGAAGAGCGAAGAGATTCTCCATGTTTTCAAAGAAACTGGTCTACTGTAAGCTGGCTGGTACGACAGGATCTATATTCCAAACCCTTCTGCAGCTGGGCAGTTTGCAGAGCCAGCTGGAACTCTCTCCAGTGAGCTCCGGGCTGGGAAAATCTGGAGCTGGGCCAGTTTCCTCCCCAGGCAGTGGGCAGCCTTCGGCACGCCAGCTGGAGTCTTCCTCTGCCCGACGCGGCCCCGGCAGGGCAGCCAGCAGCGCTGGGCTCTGCTCTCATTTCGGGGAGCACCAAGAAGTGTGAAGAGTGTGATCCGTGTCACCACAAAAAAGTCCATCCTTACAAACAGCTACGAGTGTGACACGGAGATGCTGCTGGGCTGCCTGCTTGGCACCCGAGTCGATGGCTGCTGTGGTGTGAGAGTTCTTCATGCAGGAACTCAGTGCCTGATGCTGCTTTTGTCTGTATAGAACTAATTTGTGGGCCACTAAGAAGTGCTTGGTTAATGTAATGTTTGGTTTTACTAATGAATTGCTGATAAATTGAAAGTAAATGCAGAAAGCCAGTTTTGCAATAAACCCAATAAATTTTGATTTTTAACATTTTCCCTTCTCCCTAAATATTCTTCTAGAAAAAGAATGGTATTAAGCATAGTTTTGCTCTGCACAGTGTGCTACTTTTCGAAAATGTAGCAGTCACTTCATGTAGCTAGTGTGATGAAAATTCAGTCCTACACCTAGACCTCCTTAGAGACAAAAACAGCTTCTTTTGCCCATCGGATCAATCTCCACAAGGGATGAATTAGCTGTTCTGGTTCCCTCACATCACAGAGTTATGCTGAGTAAAATGACAGAGCAACTCTCCCCGTCGCTGGTCCCTGCTCAGGTTAACATCACGATGGCTTGAGTAGGCACTGACATGTGCGAGACACAGGAGGTGTCAATCCCATAAATTTGGCTTTACCCCATTCAGCAAATATTCCACAAGAACTGGGATCATAATTTGATCTTGAAACCTAAGTACTTTACTCATACATACACAGAAACCACAGACAAACTCTCCTATCTTCACTTGAAGGATGATAATGCCTGTATAAACTCAAGGCCCTGTAAAAATCCCAGACGTACTTTAATTACAGCTGTAAACACACACAGAAGATCCTACACAACAGAGGGATATATTCACCCCACTCAGTGAGTAACTGGCTGTGCAGTTGCCCTATTGATAGTGCCTTTGAAATTAACGACTCCAAGCACACACTACTCCAACACACACAGCACTGATGGATTTCAGTCAATAACAAAGTGTGGCACTTTTTCTGAACAGAACATGCTGGTACAGTACAGCTATTCTTCTGCAAGATTTTACAACTATGTGGAGAAGAGTTTAGAATGAGACAGAGTTCATTTTAACGAAGACTAATTCAAGCAAAGCAGCATACCTAATGACAGACTAAAAATTATACTGAGTCTCAAAAAGCTGTCTGTTCTCCATTTGTAATTAACTCTAATTCCACTGTGCTTATATAACAATCACTGTGTTCCAGACAAAAGCCCAAGAGCATACCTGTCTTAAATTTAAGCTATGTTAGTAATGTTATCTAAACTAATGGTTGAACATACATGTGAGCTGCCACAAAATGAGGTAGTATTATATGTCACAGAATGCAATACAAACAAAAAAAGTATTTTCCCAAACAAGCTGAAAAAAACCCCAAACATTGAGAACTGCTATTCAGTTTGTTATGAAACTCTCTTTTATACTGGAGTACCTACCAGTTGAGAACTCTGATTTGACTGTACCACCTTAACCTGAGGAGGCTGCACTGTATTGGATACAGAGACTGTGCAAATGTTGTTTGGTTGCCTTATTCCTATTGTCTGCGTTGTGACAACGGCGGAAACGCTTCCGGAGGCAGATTGAGGTATCACTTGTGAGAGCTTGGTTTGCTGAAGCGACTGCTGAGACGGCTGTCCTTGCAAAACTGAATGTTGGCTATTCAGTAGAGATTGTCTCAATGCAGGTAGACTTTTCTAGAAACAGAAGAAAGTTTCTGAAATATCATGCTTAGCAGGTTGACAAAAATTATCTTGAAATTTGCTGTAAACAGAATTAAAAGGATGCAGCTTTATTTCTTTTGATGAATAGGTAGACAGTAAAATTGTAAGGTCAAACATATTTTGTAAGAGGGAAAGTTCAGTTTACATTTTTAATAAGCTTTCAGTTTGGATTTAGCAACCCTGGAGATTTTGATGTGCCCTATTTCCTCTGTAGCAGTAAAATATAATAGTCCCCTCCTCAACACTACCTAGAACTTGCAGCTGAGGTCTTTGGAAGGGCAAAAAAATGGCAATAGAAGAGGCAGAACCCTAGGGAGAAGCCCGCTCCCAGTGCATGCTAGAAGAAGTAAGCTGCACTTCTCCTGACACGCCTCCGGTACCTCCAACAAGATGATTTAACTGCTGATGCCCTGCAGCAGTAGCTGTTTACTTTATTATTACTGATCTAATGTATTCTGACTGGATTAGAAAAGTGTACTGGTGTATGCTTCATGTTCAGACCAGTTCAACCAAAAAATGAGAGTTCTAAAAGGCTGTACTGTACCTTCACCAATAAACTTTTTACTGTTTAAGTGGTAGCAGTGTTCTTTTGAAGTGCTCCCCCGGGCAGCTGTAGAACGCAACAGTGTTGAGCCCAAGCTCCAGTTCTTTCTGAACTTCTACTATTTATTTAAAAACTTAATGCCTGCTGCCAAGAGAAGACTTCAAAGAAAGGGAACAAGTTAAAACTTCGCATGACGCTAGAAGTGACTGCAGCATAAGAAGCAGGAAATGGCACAAATAAGGGTTAATGATAACTTGAAAAAACAGAAGCAGACAGAGAGTTTTGAAGAAAAGCTGAAGGGAGAGAAGAAAGAGAAGAAATCTGCTCTCAACAGAGAAGGCTTGGACTCGAAGAAAAATGCTTTTGAAATTATAGTTGCGGTTTTGTTGGGGCATAATTAAACACACTTTGTAGGTTTGTATGTAATCTTGCATATGGAAGCTATTGTAGCTAATGCACATGAACCAATTAAAAGTTAAGTTTACTCCCACGTATAAATCCAACCCAACAACAAATCCCTTTGGTATCACTTTAGAACTTCTATTACAGATTAGTTCCAGAATACAAGCAGGATCAGCTAATCAATTTTTTGGTTATTTTATATCCAGTTCAGATTTTCATAATCACCGTTACACAAGCATTGAAAGTTACCAATGACTCAAATGTGGATTACAAAAACAGTGTGGAAAAAAGTATATTAAAACACTCAAAGCATTCTATAGAAATAACTTGTGACTCTTCCAAATCTTTACCAAAAATGACCTACTACCACAGAAAAGAATATGCATTATAACAGTAAAGGATCACTACAGAATAGACAATGAATTATTTTCAAACTAGAGAGTAATGGGTTTTTAATATAAATCTAATTACTGCAATGTTCCAGATGAGGGCTACTCAAGCAGTAAACTCCACATCAGCTCTGGACGACAAACAATTACTGCAATGTACTCAAGTAGTAAACTCCACATCAGCTCTGGACGACAAATAAATTTTTCTTAAACCTAAACCAAGGCCCCAAGCACCCAGGGTCTCCCTCCTGTGGGAAATCCCTGTTCCTTACCATCCTCTCAAGCTGCTGGGAGCCACCAGCCACCGTTCCCAGTCACGGGAGCAGTGACCAGCCCCTGGCTGGCAACAGAGACATTTTGGCAGAAATTGGCAAAGCTAACTCCATTTTAAAAAATGTTCTAGAACTTAATGTATTGAAATTTACATTAAAAAAAAATATAATCTAACCACTATTCACATTACCTTAAGGAAAGGTACGAGATATGGCTGAGGAGATGATTTGAGTTCCGATTGAAGGCGGCCTGTAAATTCTTCTGGATCAATCTTTGCATCCTTCAGGGGGAAGAAGAAAAAAGCATCAACAACCAGTTCAGCTGTTTGGGTTTTTTTCCCCAGGTAATATATCTGTATATATCTTTAGCTAAATTGGCTACCACATCAAGAAGAACTTTCAAAGCTGAAGTCCCTCATCTCCTCTGTATCTATAAAATCCTGTCAAGAGCTAATTTATACACGTAACACGCCACTCAGAATTTGGGGAGCTCCCTTGGGGATTCACAATTTAAGATATGAGGTCCCACAAACACTCAAGTCTTTTTTCTGGGTTCCGTTCTCTTGCTAACATTTACATTGTGATTTCTATTTAAAAATATTGATTAAAAAATCAAGTTGTTGAAGTAACCTTACAAACTATTATAAAATAAAAAAACAGGTTGTTGAAGTAACCTTACAAACTATTATAAAATTTGTCAGTCCTTGTAATAAAATATTGTTACTTAATTCCAAAAGCAATTTTGAAGGCTCAATATATGAACTTCATACTATATATGTAAAGTATAGGCATATATCAAAAGTATGCACAAGTATATAAAATATTTTCACCTGTATAAATGTGTGTATGTGTACATATGTGTATATACCCCCAAAGTATACAATTGTAAATACAGGAAATATATATTCAGTAGTTCATTTAGTAGTTAATACAAGAGAACTCTATAACTCAGGTGTATTTTATAATACTTCTAAAGTATCATTAGTGACAATCTCAGATTGTAATAAAAACATTTGTTGGCTTTCCTGGACCAATATAGAACAAGAACCCAAAACAACATTCATTAAATATAGTTAATTGTGGCTCATTACTTTGTTTAAAATGTTAGAAGAAATATTAACTAAGTAAAGGTAACTACTTAGTTTGAAGATTTCTGAAGATATGTCACATACAGAACATCTGCATTTTGATGCAGCCCAACTCCTTTCACCTTCATTACAGCAAAAAAACGTTTGTGAAGATCGAAGCAGTACGTTTCAGCACATGTAAATAACAAGCTCCATAGAAAACTGACAAAATGAAAGAGAAATATTTACCAACAAATCCTGAACCAGAGCTTTCACATTACGGGAGGTTTCTGGAGACGGTGAATTATGAGAAGCAAGTTTTATAAGGGTAGCTAAAAAGTTTTTGCATTTCTTCACATTCTCTTGCATTTCCTGCAGAGCCAAAGAAAACAAGTTTCAGATCCATGCTATTTTCCAATCAGGATCAATGCATGCTCTGTTCACTATAAATGGGAAAATAATGAAATGGTTCTAATTTAGGCAGGACTTATATACATCAGCTATTTTACTATTTCTGATAGTTACTTGGCATTTTCTTCACTTTATGTACCTGAGCATCATATCTCATGAATACTAACCAAAAGAAAAAAAAATCAATAAAAGAAATAATAATATTTTACAGTCTGTTTTGATAAAAATAACCTTAAATATGAGAAGTAACACAACAATTTGTTGAGAATGTATTCTGCTTTGAGATGCCCAATACACGACGTACAATGTTCCCCAAGCTATCTTAATTTGTTAAACTATTGATTCCGTATGGTTTTGTACAAAGCAGCCACAGCAGCAAAAATCGAATTAGAAAGAGTCTTCCAACATCATCACATCTAATTTTTTCTTCATCGGTAGGAAAACAGATGCTTTAATTTTTTCAAGCCATTATTTTTACATGGCGTAATTACTCTGAGAAACAGAAATGTTACACTTCAGCATCACCACAGTATTTTAAGACTTGCCTGGGATACGACGGTGGTTCCGGGAAGGGGAGAGCTGGGAATGACCTGGGGCTGTGCTGGTACTTGGGCTGTGGTGTGAGGGGGGAGCGGCAGCCGAGGCTGACCCTGGCTTTGGGCTGGACCTTGACTTTGTCCACCAGTAATCACTGCAGGCTGTTGAGAAGCTGTCGTTCCAGTTGCTACTGTTGTCTTGAATAAATTTTGAGCGCTCGTTGTAGCTACTGATACCTATTAACATTTTGTAATGAAAAAACAGGTAGTTATCTTCTTTTAATTCTTTTACTCGGTCATAAAGTTCTTGAAAGTGTGACAAGAAAAAACATTTTTCCTTTCAAGGACACCCTTACTGACTAAATAAAAACATTGACTTTACTTACTTATTATAACCCTATTTTTGTCACCCTTTACCGAAGAGTGAAAGTCCTCATTTAAAGTTCTTTTTATTAAAAAACAAGCGTACCACTAAAAAATGAGTTGTATTATCCAGCTCTTTAAGATCCCCATGAAGGTGTGACTTCTGTAACTCACCTTTCTGTAAATTTGGCCCCGAATATAAACAAGTCAATTCCCAAAGATCTGTGGTCCCATCCTCGGGTTTACTACGACCGTGTTGCGGTGACAGCGACACAAACGCACTGACACGGCTTCCCAGCCAAAACAGCCTTTTCTTCACCCAAATTTGCTCTTTATATTCTCGCTACTTACGGTGGTGTGGGAGAGCAGGGAGCCCCCCGGCAGCGCGGCGGCAGAGGTGGCACTCACTGGCGTGGCGGTCGACTGCACCACTTTGGCTTGCACCGGCAGTCCCAGGCGCACAGTAGAGGTGGCTACAGAAGTTGGTTGCTATTAAAGGAAAAAAATAAGCATTTGGGTTTGTTTTTTTTCCTCCTTAGCAACTTGATATCCAAGACTTTTTAATAATTGTGATTACACAGGTAACAATTATCAACGCTGGAAAAAACCAAACCCAGTAATATGTTCTTAAATATATATTCATAAATAATGCAAAAATGAGCTTTCCTTATGTTCAGTGATATGTTTGCAATTTTTTCTCATCCAGATGTGCAGAAAAGATTAGAAAAAATAGGGTGTGACCTGCAAAAAATTGATGTTACATCCATGTATTAGTTCAGTTGTATTATTTACATGTCAGTATTCATCAATACTTGAGCTCGTAATTGCCCATAACATGTATTGGTCATTTTGGTATTTACTGGCCTTTTCTAGTGCTTTTTCTTGAAGAAAATTAATACGGAGAGAAAATTCAGAGAGCAGAAAAGTATTTTCAAAATCATTTCAGATTATACAGAAACTAACTTGCACAGCAACGGAGTCGAAGCATTTGGAGACCCTTTGTCACCACAGGCACACCCTGTAACCAGACAGCAACTGGAATTTAAGTGCAGACAAAGGAAAAGGACTGGCTTACAGCCTTTCACTCCACAACTCCCTAAATCTGCCACGCAGCAAACATATTAATTGTTTTTTGCAGTTTACTTTAATTCGAGGGGGATACTGAAATCTCTTACCATCATGTAAAGGGACAAGACTTAGGGATAAAACATGTCTCCAGGAAAGTTGTTATTTAATTCAACAAGAATGTAAATACACAGTACGGCAATTATGACAAAAAGAGAACCAATCATTATTAAAAACGAAGGCCTCACTGGTCTCTCAAAACCTGCATTTATTAAGATTTGCATTCAAACACATACTTAGAAAAGTCAAATTTTTTAAGTGGCAGGAGCAATAAATCACAGGCAATATTGTTCTTTACAAGATAAAGCTAATTTTCCTTGATTTACTTTTTAAGTTATATGTCTCTATAATTAATATTTTTTTCAGGGATAAAACACGTCTCGAGGAAAGTTGTTATTTAATTAACAAGAATGTAAATACACAGTATGGCAATTATGACAAAAAGAGAACCAATCATTATTAAAAACGAAGGCCTCACTGGTCTCTCAAAACCTGCATTTATTAAGATTTGCATTCAAACACATACTTAGAAAAGTCAAATTTTTTAAGTGGCAGGAGCAATAAATCACAGGCAATATTGTTCTTTACAAGATAAAGCTAATTTTCCTTGATTTACTTTTTAAGTTATATGTCTCTATAATTAATATTTTTTATAAAGAACAGTTTATTTTAGATTCTTACATTACCTACTAAACCTACATAAAATCCTCCTTCAAAGATTTGCACTTAAGAGATCTCCAAAAGGAGCAGAGGCCCAGGCAGGCACCCAAACCCCAAGCACTCCTCACCAGTCAGTCCAGAAACATCCCCTACTGGATACCAACCTGCTGTATGCAGGGGTTAAAAAAAAAAAAAAAAAAAAAAAACGCAGGGGTTAAAACAACAAAAAAAAGAAATCTACCTGACATATGAAAAAAACTTTTATTTGTTTGTTTGGGCAGCTTTCAAGATTTTTAAAATCTTGACTAGCTGACATCTGAAAAAAACTTTTGTTTGTTTGTTTGGACAGCTTTCAAGATTTTTAAAATCTTGACTAGGGATGCCTTCCATACGGAGACAGCCCAGAGGCAACAAACAGCATCGTCACAAATAGGCAGAATTGGGGTTTTGGAAGGAGGATGATACAAGTTTTTTCGGCTTTTAAATACAGTACCTCTTTTCTCCGTTATAAAGATCACTCATTTTGATTTCGTTTAAAATACAGGTGGAATGAAACTATATTCACCCAGTGAATGTTTGCATTTAAAGCCATGAATACTGTGTACCTTGTTAATTTGCTCACAATCGGTGTTTCCAACCCCAAACCAGAGCATGTCCCTGTCCTCTGCCCCCTCTCCCCAGCAACACCCAGACTAAATCCACCCTCAGTTTTAAAAATCAATCGTGAGAAAAGCCTTTGATACAAACTGGCAGTAAAATCTATTAATATGTAGCGTATGAAGAAAAAGCCTTACTACCCAGGAACTGCAAACAAAGTAACGCAGCGCTTTAGTAACCTGGTTCCAAACCTCATTAATGTTAAAAAGGTTAAGTATGGAAGGAGTGGATGAGAAACCTAAGGAGGAACGAGCCCAGAGAAATCCTTTAGTGCCGTGGAAATGATCTTCCCATGACAGAGACAGGTTGCAGAAGACACTGCAAGACTCCCAACACAAACACTTGCAGAGGAACTGGTAAAAACCACTCAGAAACAAATAGCTGTGGTTTTTATGAAAGGAAAGCTCTAAACAGATTTCATGAGACATCTGCCGAGAAGGAAACAAGAAATGATCAACTTCATATATAAAAAAACCCCATACCCCAATGCGTCAAGCTCCTACGATGACAATCTTAAAGAATTTATGATGCTATGCTAAGATGCCCTGATGCCCCAAACAATATGAGAAGGAAATAAGAAATGATCAACTTTATATATAAAAAAACCCATACTCCAATGCGTCAAGCTCCTACAAGGACAATCTTAAAGAATTTATGATGCCATGCTAAGATGCCCTGATGCCCCAAACAATAAAAGACAGGGTTTAACAAGGAGAAAACTAAGGTGGGAGGCAGATACTGGCAGAAGCATAGGCTAAGGGTCAAATCTAGTAGCCTGTTTCCAACTAATTTATACAACCTTTCTTACAGGTGTGGCTGGTAGCTCTACCTATTATTAAGGTATCATAACACTCCCCATTACCAAACTCAGTTTCCCAATACTTAAATTTTGGTCAGAGTTCTGAAGAGTTCATAGGGAACCTTCACAGGCTTCTTGACTGCCCCTCAATTCCCTTGGTTATGGTTCAGCTGGAATGTACACTTCAATTCCAGTTGTAGAGCAACTGCTGTCAGGGATTTGATTTTTTTGCCCCAGTAAAAATACAGCTAAATTGAGCAAAAGTGCTAACCCTTTAAAAACTTGACATTTGCACACAATTACAGAAAATGAGTGCAGGCAGAATCTCTAACAAGCCAGCGACAGAAGCAGAACCCTTCACTGCCACCACAGCACATGAGTGGTCCTCACATATGTGATGTTCCTTTTGGACATCCACCAACTAGAAGAACAACACGGGAGGAAGACACAGGACTGGGAGCTATGAGACAAGAAAGGCAGAGGAGCAGTGAAGTGGCTGGTCCTTCTACAATCAATAGGATTCATCCAAAAAACCTGCTGGATAAAAAGCAGCTAAATTTTTGTCCCACAATTACATTCCACCCCTGCGTCAATTGCTGGGTGCTTGTACTGAGTGCAAATATAGATAATCTATTGTAATCAATAACCTTACACCATATATTGATGAGCAGACAACTTGAAACACAGGGTTTGCAACCAGGAGTGGCCGCAGCTGCAATTGAAGACAACCATGTCAAACTAAACACAAAAAAATTAACCAGTATGTTCCATTTAATATTTAAAATACAGACAATTAGGCTCTGTTTTCTACTTATAAAAAGAGGCTAATAATCCCCTTAACTGCTTTGTTGAGAAAGTTGTTACAGGGATAAGCTTAACAAAAAAACCTACTTGGTTATTAATTCCCACTTCAGAGGGGGGCTTAGATAATATGCAGCAAATAAGCCTGAAGCAATCCACTGAACAGTGGAGAAAGAAGTATTACATAATTCTTTGTTAATTAAGACTGTCCAGCCTACACACTGTAGAAATTAAAAATAACAGTAGTATGTGGTCATGCAGCGTAATGCACATGCACACGGGAGCCACTATGAGGTTGCTCAGGAATCTTCTTTGTAGCATTCCTGACCTTTGCATGTTGAATTTTACAGCCTTCCTAATGTTGGCGTGTTTTCTAAGAAGTTTTTAAAGATATATTAATGCTATGAAAGTACAAACAGAATTTATAAGTAGTGCGAACTTACTCTCTGCTTATGCAGCAAAGACCCACCATGAAGAAAAAGAAGGAAAATGTTTTTGTGGTTAAAGCAAAGCCAAGACCACACATTTTCCACTTTCTCTGGCCTTTCAACCCACCTGCCCTGCGAACACAAACGTCTGCTCCAAAAGGTTGCACAAGAACCCCCCAAATTTTCTATACAAAGAAATAGCACAGAATGGCTTATTTGCTAACAGTGGCAATGCACCGCAGGCAACAAAACAAAGATTTACCAATTCACTTGAAATTCTGGCAAAAAGTAAAATAAGCATTTGCCAGAAAAGCAAAAAGGGTGTGGAAAAACAGTAATAAATAAATAAAAGAGATCAATAAACAAAGAAAAAAAATACCAAAACTAACAGATGACATAAGACCCCAAACACTGCTGAAAACACAGGTGTTTCCAGAACTCTCTCAGATCTGAAAGGCTCTGCTTTCGCAAGAGCAGTTTGGGAAACGTCAGCACAGCTGAGAAACATCAGTGTGATGGCAAAGGCAAAGCTGCTCCTCATCCATTAATCAGACTCCACAGCAAAAATACTGCCACTCCCAGAGCAGGTGATTCCACACTTCTCACCAGTTCAAAGACTTTTTTTTTTTCCCCATTTAAAAAAAAAAAAAAGATGATAATATGAAACAACGGAAAGTGAATGTCAAAACAAAGAAAACAAGTATGTTTCTATCATGAACCTGGAATTCTGAAGAGTAGAAATAAGAAAAATGCCTAAAGCAAGAAAAAACACAGCTAGAAAAGAATTGTCATCCATCTATACATCCATACATACTGATTGGACTATTTATGCAACAGAAAAAAAAAAACCCTCAAGTGAGTGGTAATCATATTTGGAGCAGAAGCATTAAGTAGCCCACTTATCTACCCCAAACATTTGCACTAAACCATCAAACTTTACACGTAATTTCACACTACCTTTTCTGATTGCTAAGAATATACAAAGCAACTTAATGCTGGAAGAGACATTTCTGAACCAA